AAAAATCCAGATAGCAAGAATAACTGTAAATACCTAAAGTTCTGCCTCAGCTCGCCTTTGCTTACTCCTGCCTCACACGTGCTCAGGGAATGCAATTTAATTTTAATATTACTTCAATACGTACAAAAAAAACCCAAAACCAAACTCACTGCCATCGAGTCATTTCTGACTCATAGCAACCCCCATTTGGTTTTCCGAGGCTGTAAATCTTTACAGGAGTAGATTGGCCTGTCTTCCTTCTGCAGAGCGGCTGGTGGGTTTGAACCGCTGTCCTTCCAGTTAGTAATCAAGTGCCTTATCACTATGCCACCAGAGCTCCTTCAATATGTATATATAACCAAAATGTTATTTTCCAAATTACAACATTTAATACTCTCCAGGTTTTATTTTTAATAAAGAATAATATGGATCCCAGTAAAAAAATTAAAATAACTATAAATATACTTACAAACTCTTGGTTACTGTTACTTGAGGCAAATGGGGAGGAATGTTTTCTTTGAGATGTTGCACATCTTTATAATCTTCTTCAAGAGATTCACAGAGTTCCTAAAAAAAAAAAAAGAAGAAGAAGAAGGCTCACAAACACACCCCTGGCTCCCTGTGTGCGTTTTAAGACGTTATAAAGAGCACGAAAGACAATGAACCTCAATCATGGCGACTGTGAATGTGCAGAACGCAGAACAGGGTGAAAAAGCCCTGGATGCTGGATGCAGCAACATGAAGTAAGACTCCTTTGGTTTCTAGAGCTGTTTTTGGACGGTGATGTATTTTTCTTCACTGGATATTTTCAGAGACTAGTTGCTATTATCATATTATAATAGGCAGGGTGGAAGTACAGGTCTCTCCAAAATAATTTAACTTGAGGCAACTAAAAAACACATGAGTGATTTGTCTCTCATTCTGGTAAATTGCTTTTATTGACTTGGCAAACGTTCCCTTGTGTTATCTGGGTAACAGCAGGGTGGAAACTCACACACCTGGATGACAGCCATGAGCCTGAGACGCAGGGTGGAATGACTTTCATTGCTGGCATGCGCACAGTCCACCTTAATGAAATTTCAACTTGATCATAACCTTTACTCCTTTATTGTCTTTACTTTCTATCAGAAGTTGAGGCTCACCACCAAACAACAAACTGACAGATGGGTGGTGGTGACTGACGGTGGGATTGGCATAATTACATCGACTCCTATAATTGAAAACTTTTACAGATCCTCAGAATTATAAACCTGAAAGGGACTACAGGGGCCATATTTATTGTTCAGCCTCATCAAACATTTCAACAGCTCGAACAACAGCACGAGATGATTATGGTCCAGATTGAGTATTTTCCCACCAGGAAGTAGACACAAGCACTTTTATTAGCTGAAGTCAATTAGACGGTTTGTTACTAATATAGAACAATATATGCCTGTGGACAAGGCTCAAGTTTTTAAGTCTTTGTATTAAAATTAACAGAAATACAAGGGGCCTAAACAATAGCCCAGTACGATGTATTATTTTTGAAATGAGAACCCTGCCACCCGGAAAGGTGAAACAGCTTCCTCAGGGTGGCAGACAGCGCTACGGGCAGCCAGGGGAGAATCTGCATCTCCTCCCACCAACATAGCATTTGTTTAAGTCTACCAAGAATTATTTTGAAAATCATCCTGTTGAGTAAAGTTCAATTCCTTTGAAAAGCAACACGAAGAAAGAAATACCTGTGCAGCTCTGAAGTCCGTTGTACTGGAAAAGTAACAGCAGAGAGCAAATGTAAAAATACTTCTTTACAAAACTAAGAAAATCCTTACCAATTTTCTGGTGGTTAGGGAGTTTGTACTTAGGCCTTTTTACTTGGTTTCTTAATTAGAAATATATTACCTTGAGTGAATGGCTGGTTTGTTCTTGCTCCTCAATTTCTAATTCCAATTTATTTAAGAGTTCATTTACTCCAATGATCTCATCTCCAATTTTATTTAACATAGTCTTCAAGGCAGGTTCTTGGCCTATAACAAACAAAGGTAAAGTGAAAAACAGAATATGTAGAAAAGCAGTAACGTACAAGTACTCACATGAATAGCCAGCCTTGCTTTACAGAGCAATGTAAGGGGTGGGAAGGATTTGGCTCCATGGATAACCTTTCTAAGCAGTAAGAGCAGGAGAGTGAGGCAAGTACAAAGGGTCCTTTGAGTCTAGCAAATCCGCCACTGTATCAAAGTACCTGGGGATGCCAGATGAGATAAACATCATTCTGCATGCATAGCTGGGCATTCGTGAGAAGAAGGTAAACCCCCAAAGGCTGCAAATGAGGGAGAACCCCAGACCAGTCAGTCCATGAGCTGATGCTCATGAGCCCTCCTCTGGGGGGTGTGGAGGAATGCTGGGAAGAGGATGCTGCCAGTCCCAGAAATCTCATAGACTTGACTTTTTATACTTGAAAAGAGCCAGGGCTTGGGGCCTTCAAAACATGTGGGGTTAGAAGTAAGAACCCATGTGAGACCAGGATCCCCCTGTTGATGGCATATACCCTCAGTGAAAGCACAAACCTGAAAAATTCCAACCACTGGCCAGGGAGACAAGCTTATGTGCTCCACCGGGAATCTGTAAAATAGGTTTGCCCTCACTTGGGTTTGGGGTTCGTAAGTGTACTATCCATATTATTTAAGACCCCTAAGAAAAGAAAGTCATAAGGAAGTCACAGGCTGGTGATAACCCTAGCAACCAAAGAATGGGAGATACACATCACTCCTACCATATCTGTAGGTCATGGAGGCAGTAGAATGACATGCTTAGAAGCTATAGGCCTGAAGCCAGAACTACCTCATAAGGTTACTGGGAAACTAAGTGAAAGTACATATAAAATAGGCTTGGCACTGCACCTAGAACCGAGTAAAGCACTCAGTATGATAACATTGTGAAAGCCGGAACCTGGGTAAGACAGAAACCTGTCAGAGAAGGAAAACAAATATTTCCCACTAATAGAGCAATAGAAAAGTGGTTAAGACTGTACCGTCTGGTTGCCAGGGTCTAGGGGAAGAGAAGTAACTGCTGAATGGCTATGAAGTTTTATTCTGCAGTGATGAATATGTTTTATGACTAGGTAGAGGTGGTGGTTACACAACATTGTGAATGTACTAAATGCAACTGAATTGTTTGCTTTAAAATGGTTAATTTTATGTTACGTAAATTTTTCCCCAATAAATTAAAAAAAAAGATTGTACCCTGTCAAAGGCAGAAAACTTCTGAGACCTAGAAAATCAAGGCAGTCCTGGCAAGTCTCGGCTCTCACCCATTTCACTGTAAATGCTTACTATTCATATCAAGGAGCTCTGGTGGTATGGGGAATAAAGCATTTTGGCTACTAACCAGAAGGTCAGCGGTTCAAACCCACCAGCTGCTCCACAGGAGGAAGCTAAGGCAATCTACTTCCCTACGGAGTTATAGCCTTGGAGGCACTATGGGGATCGTTATGAGTCAGAATTGACTTGACAGCAGTGGGTTTGGTTGTTTTCTGGTTTATTCATCATCAAGGAGCCCTAGTGGCACAGTGGTTAATCACTCACCTGCTAACCAAAAGGTTGGTGGTTTGAACCCACCAGATGCTCCGCAGGAGAAAGATGAGACAGTCTGCTACCATAAAGATTTACACCCTTGGAAACTCTACGGGGCAGTTCTACTCTGTCCTCTAGGGTCGCTATGAGTCAGAAATGACTCAATGGCCTTGAGTTTGGTTTTAGATTTGGATTCTTCATCATAATGAGAAGGAGTATATTAATCTATGGAGCAGTGGTAACTGTATTTGATATTCAACTGATAACAACTAAAACTAATAAGTAAGTGAGAATATTGATGTCTCTATTAAGAACAACTTCAGGGGGTTAAATAGTCTGCTGTCTCCTCCCTGTACATTGGTATCTCAAATAACTTTTAGTCATCTAAATATCAGGGTCTTGTTTACTGATTTGTAATAATATAATCAATTGAGCAAATTCACTATTTTTAATAGTAGTTATCTAGTACGTTGGAAAGTTACAGCACTAAAGTGGCAAATTAATTACTGGGCTTTAGTAAACAGGTTGGAGTCCCAGTGTAATGCAAACTGGTTAGTGCACTCAGCTGTTAACCAAAGCTCTAGTGCTTTGGGTCCACCCAAGGCACCTTGGAAGAAAGGACCAAAGAAGCTATTTTTGAAAAATGAGCCACTGAAAACTCTATGGAGCACAGTTTTACTCTGACACATGGGGTTGCCATGAATTGGAATCGACTCTACAACAATTTTATTTTGTTGTTGTTGCTGTTTTATTAAATAGACAATGGAACCAAACAGACAAATTATTCTCCCTATGTACAAAATGAAAGTTGTCCAATGTGTGGTAATCTAATAGGTCAGAATGCTTTCAGGTCACTGTTCAATATAACTTATATTTTCAGTATCCTTTGCAATATTCAAAATAGTGATGCTATTTTAACCAGACATTAAGATGGCGTTCAAAGCAGAACATTCAAAATGCATTCTGTATGTACAAGGTCAGTGGAATCTGTTTTACTTACCACACTTTCTTAATGACAGAGTATTTTTGATATTGCCAATCTTTTCATTAATGTGACAGCATAATTGTTCCAGATCTGAAGAGGCCATCCTTTAAGCTGCTTACAAAAAATAAACACATTTATAGAAAACAAATATATAGCCAGACAAGTTTCTGTCACTTTCAAAATCTCAAAATGATAAATGTCGGGTGAATTTCATTTCTTTGAAAGTATAAAAACCCATAAGCAATTTCTTTCAATTTTACAAAACTCAGTTTCTAACCAAAATACGGTACTGAGATGTCTTCTAGCCTTCTTTAGGCACTGGATTCCACACCAGAGTACGAGACAAATCTGGGTCATTTCCTTAAGGATTTAGAAGGACAAATACACTTTCTATGCATAGACAACAAAGGTATTAAAGGGGGAAAACAAAATAAAGGAAAAAAAGAGTTCAAAGAGCGAGCCCTGGTAACCATTTGTCCTATGCTGTGGGGTCTGAGGCGTCACAGTCTGAAGTTGGGAAAGAGAGAAAGGAGGGTTAGGAATTGTTACTATTAACTCCGAAAACAGGTCAAAAAGGACCCGCTAGTCGGGGCCGACTCGACGGCACATAACAACAACAACAACAAGAAACCAGACGGCTGGCGGTTCAAACCCACCAGCCACTCCTCGGAAGGAAGGTTGGGCAATCCTACTTCCATAGTGACACTGCCTTGGAAACCCAAGGAGGGGTCGCTATGAGTCGGGTTTGACTCGATGGCACATAACAACAACAACAACAACAGAGAATCCAGGACAGCTGAACCAAGCTGAAGAAATGCCAACCTTTGCCCCTCCGCCCAGCCAAGGAATGCCTTCCGGGTTTGAGATCCCAACACCAAACTCCAATACCAAACTCCAACCTGTCGCCAGTCCGGGACCAAAGTGTCGACTCGCCGCTGGATCGCAAGACTTGCAAACCCGGGTGTGGGCCAGAAGCCTGGGATCGCGTGACGCAACTCAGAACGAAATTTGAACGGCCCGCCTGGGATGGGCGCCACGCAGGCGCAGATCCCTGCCTGCGTGCTGGGCCCATTCTGCGACTGCGCCCGGCTTCGCGTTGTCATGGCAACAACTGGGCGGTCCTCAGCGGGGGTTTGGCGCGGGGTGGTGGGCAGGAGGAGGTGCGAGACCAGACCTGGTTGGCTCTAAGGGCGAAATCTCAGTGAGTGGCTCTCCAACCCAGTTACTCTCTCACTCGCTCAACCCAGACCGCCGCACAGCCACCGGCCAAGGGCTCTGGAGACAAAACAAAACAAAAAAATTGCTATATTAGCAGCTCAGAACTTACTGAAGGTAATAATTCTTACTCTGACCAAACTGTGTTGTTGTGTATGACCAAAGTATAAAGGAAGCAAAAACAAAGCCAAGAAAACGGGAGCTCTGGTGGCATAGTGCCTAAGGCATCTGACTGCTAACCTGAAGACTGGCGGTTCCTTGGAAGGAAGATTGGGCAATCTACTTCTGTAAAGACTTACCGCCTCGGAAAGTCAGGATACCGGAAGAGGGATTGTACTAAATTGCAAGGACAAGAGTATCAGGAGAGGTTAGAAAGGCAAAACCCCCAGCTAGAAAATAATTGACAAATGACTCAGAATTGGCAAATCGAGGCCCTCTGGAGGTAGGAACTGGTCAATAACTTTTTCCTCAGGCTGATGTCAGAGACTGGTGCTGTTTGTTCTTCAGTTTCCTCAAAAATTTCTCATTCTCCATCTGTTGACAGCTTAATTAAAAAAACAAACAAAAAACCTCACTGCCCTCCAGTCAATTCACTCATAGCAACTGCTCCTTAGGTTTCCGAGGAGGTATCTCTATGGAAGTAGATTGTCCAATAGGTATTTGGTATTTCAGGTCAGCCCCTCTACTTGGTCTTTTTTCTCTATGGTTCCCATATGAGTAGGTCCTCTGACTGAGGAACATACCTTCATATTTTGTCCTGATTCTGCATACTCAGTGGGGGAGACCTGTTTGGCAAATTAAAAGTTATAATATTCTGTAGTTCCCCCCCCCTCCCCCATGGGGTGTTGGTGGAGCTACTTGGTGAGAAAGCCATTTTAATTCTCCCAGAATGCAGATTTCTGGGTTTGTGGAATTGGGGTGACCCATCCAGAGCATTCACCCTTAAATGTCCTTTTGAACCTTGAGCCTTAAAGGAACAGGTTCCTTAAAGTCCCCTTCAAGTAAAACAATAGCTTAAATAAGCAGTTTAGCAGAAAACGTTTTGCCTGAGGCATTGGGTTCTTTTGGAAAATTAACTGTGTGCAGCTGAGAAGCAGGAACTCCAAGGTCGGACTGGAGGTTGTTTTAGATCATATGGCATGTGCTTGGTGACTGTTTCTGTACATGACTGCAGGGCAATCAATTAGTAGGCCCTTCTAGGCATAGTCCTTCATTCTGTGATGCATTGTAAATCCTGGCCTCTGGCCTCCATGCCTGTTATTAGGAGCTCTGGTAGCGTAGTGCCTAAGGCACTTGACTGCTAACCAGAAGGCTGGTGGTTCAAACCCACCAGCCAGTCCTGGGAAGGAAGATGGGGCAATCTACTTCCATAGTAATACTGCCTCGGAAACCCAAGGAGGGGACGCTATGAGTCGGGTCCAACTCGACAGCATATAATAATAACAACAACAACATGCCTGTTACTATGGTCTTATGTCGGAGTGAGTTGTCTGTTATGTTAAGGAGGCAGGATTAGGGTGAAAATATATCTTTGTGTGTGTGTGTGTGTGTGAGATTTGGGTGAAAGTTTACAGAGTAAATTCATTTTCCAAACAGCGGGTCATACACATTTTGTATGACATTAATTGCAATCCCCATAATGTAACAGCTCTCTTCCACCTAACCCCCTGTGGTTACCTTTTCTCTGTGGCCTTCTTTCCTATGTATTCCTCCTCTCTGAGCTATCTCCCTGTGCAAATATTGCCCTTCTGATTTCCCATGACTGATTGTTCTGAGGAGTGTACCTACCTGGTTCACTTTATAAGCCTGTCTACTGTTTGGCTGGAAACCATGGAAGGGAGTTCAATTCCAGTCCTGAACGATGATTATGGCCATAGTCTTTGGGGTTTCATCAGCCCCTGTCAGTAAGTCTGGTCTTTTTTATGATTTTGAGTTTTGTTCCACATTTTCCCCCCACTCTATCCAGGATCTCCTGCAATGATCCCTTTCCAAGTGGTTGACAGTGGTAGCTGGGGGCCATCTAGTTTTCCTAGTCTCATGGTATGTAGGCCAAGGTTCTCATGGTCCACTAGTTCCTTGTACTAATTGTGTCAATGTGTCTTTGGTCTTCTTCATTCTTCTTTGCTCTGGACAAGAAGAGACCAATTGTTGCATCTAGATGGCCACTTACAATCTTTTAAGATGGGGGTGGGGTTTGGTGTATCTTTACTCATGACCTTACTAGAGGATGTGACTCAAGTTACCACTGTTAGTTTCCTTGAGGATATGGTCTGCAAAATACCAAAAGAGAAGAACACACTCAGAATTTCTCAAGCTGAAAGAACTGAAGAAGAAATTTAAGCCTCAAGTTGAAATATTGGAAGATTCTAGGGGCAATATATTGAATGATGTGGAAAACATCAAAAGAAGATGGAAGGAATACACAGACAGAGTCATTATACCAAAAAGAATTGGTTGATGTTCATCCATTTCAGAAGGTGGCATATAATCAAGAACCAATGGTAATGAAGGAAGTAGTCGAAGCTGCACTGACAGAATTGGTGAAAAACAAGGCTCTAGGAATTGACGGAATACTCATTAAGATGTTTCAACAAATGGATGTCCTGCCGGAGGCCCTCACTCGGCAATGGTAAGAGATTTGGAAGACAGCTACCTGGCCACCTGACTGGAAAAGATCCATATATGTACTCATTCCAAAGAAAGGTGATACTACAGAATATGCAAATTATCGAACAATATCATTAATATCACACGTAAGTAAAATCTTACTGAAGATAATTCAAAAACAGTTGCAACAGTATATTGACAGAGAACTTCCAGAAATGCAAGCTGGATTCAGAAGAGGACGTGGACCGAGGGATATCATCGGTGATGTCAGATGGATCTTGGCTGAAAGCAAAAACTACCAGAAAGATGTTTACTTGTTTTATTGACTATGCAAAAACATTCGATTGTGTGGATCATAACAAATTACGGATAACATTGAGAAGAATGGGAATTGCAGAACACTTAATTATACTCATAAGGAGCCTATACATAGACCAGGAGGCTGTCGTTCGAACAGAACATCGTTTAAAATCGGGAAGGGAGTAGGTCAACGTTGTATCCTTTCACCATACTTATTCAATCTGTATACTGAGCAATTAATCCAAGAAGCTGTACTATATGAAGAAGAATGTGGCATCAGGATTGTAGGAAAACTCTTT